GGTCCCCCTTATTGTTTTATTGGGGCCCCCACCCACCGCTCAGGGGTGGGGGCCGGGGGGAGGACAGTAGGTCCCCCCCCCATTATCTTTATGGCCCCCACCCGCCGCTCAGGGTGGGGGAGGGGGGGAGGACAATAGGTCCGCCCCCCCTTATTGTAATTTATGTCTTTTTTTTTCAACAGTGAGCAGCCACAGGCTGCTCACTGTTTAGTAGACATGCCCCTACTCGCGGTATAGTGAGTAGGGGCATTTGGGAGATTTAAATCTCTCTTGTGCTATTATGGGGGTCATATTGACCCCCATAGAGTGAGAGGGGGTACTGGGGGGCTTATGAAGTGGTGGGGAGCACTGCTCCCTGCCACTTCTATAGTTACATATTACAAGGAGGGAGCTGCACGCCGGTAGCTCCCTCCTTGTAATAAACTGCACGAACAAACATACACTGATACTCAGATACACTGATACATTGTGTTTGTTTGTTCGGCTGATCTTTCTATTCACTCATTCGTCTGTCTGATGAATGAATGAATAGATGAAATTCCCGTTCGCATGTCCAGGTGTTTCACTGGGCATGTGCGGGAATCTCAGTGTCTGCCTAGTGTGGGCTGATGACGTGTCCCACAGGGAGTTCATCTACCCACACAAAGATGGCGGCGCCCTGAATCAAGATCGGGGCAGAAAATAAGGATTAAAAAATAGGTAATGTGGGGGGCTTAGGGGCATTTGGGGGTGACTAGTGGGTCAATTGGATGTGGATGAGCTTGAGTGCAAGGACTATATGGATGCCTTTATATATATATATATATATATATATATATATATATATATATATATATATATATATATATATATATATGTAACTTGTTAGTTGTTTGCAATTACCTAATTTGCATATTGCAATTATACAAATGCATGCATTTACGAGTTTTACCAACAGACGGTGCTGGGAGTCACCACAGAGGAAATTTTAAAAGCCTTCAGGGAAATCTTTTAATTTCCCAACTGGCTCAAGGCAGGGGGTGGGGCGATCAGAGCTAGAGCTCAAGAACCAGACAGGGGCCCACTGGGCCCATGTCTCAGCCCTGGCCCTGGGCAGCTGACTTGGTCTACTTATGGGTAAGCCAGCTCTGCATGCACTGTGCACTGCGGGTGCAAGCTTGCATATACTAGGATGGAATGAACACTCTGCTGGAAAAAGATGTCAGACAGCCACTTGTGTTGTATATTGTATATTACTGTTATAGGAAGTTTATGTATTTATTTCCTCTCATTAAACCATGTTAACCCTGATAAAAAATCTTATGTGAGATCTATTGAGCCTGGATATTGCTCATGCTATACATGGCTTTGCTATACCATTTGTTCTTTTTTTATTATTATTTTTTGTTCATGCTATTCGTGATGACACCAAATAAGTGGACCTTTAAAATCTATGGTCTTCAATTATATAGTCAGGCTGACTGCCACTAGAGGTGTGGTTTAAGAAAAAATTCAACATTTCCATTTCTGTAAAAAGAGCAATGTTTTACAGTGTCAGAAAAAGAACACATTTTTGTACCAAAACAACTTAACATGAAATAGTTTTAATGCTTAGAGTGTTCCTTCCAGGCACATGTATTTCGGTA